AAGGGGACTGGTAGGACCAGGAGTGCAGTGCCAGGTTCCCAGCTTCCTTCTGGATGCTCTTTGCAAGCCTAGAGCTACCTTCCACGTTAAATAGGCAGATTCACTTGCTGATTAAAAAGCATTGTTAATTTAGAAGGAAGGCCACATTCTTTCTCAACACCATCATTAATTAAAGACTAGGAAATTGCCAATTCACCCAACATTCACATCCTTAGCAGCCTGTGCTCACGTAATTTATTGCCCAAGTATCTTAATGCCCAACTGCATGCTGAGGCCCGTGCACAAAACCTTGACTCCAATCTCATGCATTTTTCCTATGCATAATTAAGATGATTGCCTCTTAAAACCTTGAGTATTTTTGGTAAAACACCTTTGTTTTTCTGAGGTTGGGTTTCAGATTGTGCCCAAACATGGGCACTGATTGTGGACGCAGTTTTATGAAACCGCGTCTAATCCTGTGTGCACAGGAGTGAATCATAACCCCAGATGAAAAGAGCTCCTTCGGGGCTCTGGGAGGAGAACAAACCATGGCACCCAGCACTCCTTGAGGTTGTACAATTATAAACTGTCTCAGGTTGAACAGAGAACAGAGCATTATGCTGGTAAGAGTAATGTAAGTATGCAAAATCCACTTACAGCTTAGACGCATCATTCATGAGTTACACCGTGGCTCCTAACTCATGGCAGCGATGAGTGTCTGGCAATCCCCACCATCTGGTGAACTCTGATGTGTATTTGAACAGCACGCTGTGTTAGTGTGCCTATATACAAGACATATTCACACACAACATATAGTGGCAGGGGAAAGAGAGAGGAATTATGTTTCAGCTGTGAATGACTTATATTTACTCGAGCAGCAAAGAAATAGCTGATAGCTCACGAGTGATCAAAGCTGGTGGTGAGTTATCGAGGTCTTTCCTCACTGTGAGGAAGATATAGCACATTTCAACCTGCTGTATATCCTTTTAGTCCAACACACACATTTTAATACTTATTTTTATTTTGGCTTAGAGGCTTTTCTCCTTTGCCCAGCAAGAGATTTTTTTATTATTATTTTTTTTTTGCAGTCTCTCCTTCTCTGTCTGATGCCGATGCCAGAGACAGAGCAGATTGGGAAGCCTTTGAACACATTACTAGTTGAACTCAGATGAGATTTTTTGTATTGCTTGGTTGCAGGCTCCTGTGATGAGCATAAGGAATGCAGTTTTGATTGACATTATATACTCTTAAAGCAAAAGTGATCTATCAGCATTCAGGCGCCCACAGCTTGTTTTTCTCTTTTATGACAGAGAATAGCTATGTTGCAGTTGTGCTGCAGCGATGAAGGTTGCGTTGCAGTTTCTCTTTGAATCCTCTGATGGAGGAGGTAGCGAGGGGTGAGTCAAATCTGGGCCATTTTAGGTCACTCCTAACAAGCCGGGCTTGAGGATCTTCTCGGTTTCGGTTGCTCTGACTGTTTTGTGTTCAGCCAGAACTTCCTTTGGTAGACCGGCATTCTCATTCCAGTACAGAATATTTGTATAGATGACACAACCTCATTGTCTTCAGCTCCGGTCACTTTAAAGTGAGTTTTTACAGTTAAAACACCCGCGATCTTATACCACAAAGAGAACTGGCTTGGAGAGAAAATGCAGTATATCCTCAGCCTTAGTCTGGGTGTGAAGCACCTCCTCTCCTCTTTCCTCCTTGTGCGCAGCCAAATGTGAAACCTCTTCAAAATCAGTTGCTCTCCAAATGAGTTATTGTTTGGCCTATGGTCTCTAGAGGAGATAGGTGAGCATCCTCTGAAAGGAAATGCAGTTCTGCAAGTTCACCTTCAAACAGGGGAGTGTCAGGTGGTGTTTCTCATGCAGCTGATGTGTGTAGAACCAGGCAGGTAGCTGGCCTTCCTTTCCGTGCCTGTGGGGTGGGTGCAGTGCTCCTTACTGCCCTCACTGCATTGGTGCCAGTGTGCATCGATACATCTCCTGGGACATGGGAATGCGAAAGAGCCTTCAGATTAAACAGATTTGTTATTAGAGGCTTTGTAACCATTTGTAAACCATTTGAATCTCGCATAACCTTGGAGGAAGAGTGCTGAGATGCAACTGTTACAGCAGTTTTAAGAAACTATAGAATGCAAAAGGTCTTTAAGAGTCAGATGATGCTGAGCATCCTTGCAACTTTTTGGTGCCACCTTTTCCACCTAGCAAAGCTTCTTACGGGGTAGATGTGCAACCATGGCATGCAGTCAGTCCATCTGGCAGTGACTGCTTAAGGGAGATCCAGTGATGAGCTGGGGAGGAATCTGAGGGTTCCCAGGGTGGGTTGCCCTGACCCAGCTGACAGTGAGTCAGGGGAACTTGCCCCATGTGGGGCTAGCTGGGGTTCTATCTTGCCCCAGATGCAAGTTTTGGAGATGTTCAAGAAGCAGTAGTCAGAAGAATTTTAACAGGTTTTTTTTTTTTCTAGAGATGTAGGTATGTGGGATGCTGACAGTACATGCCAGGTTTTGGAGCTCAAAATGAATGATTAAATAATTTGTAATTAATGTAGTGAGTGGGAAAATAAACATCTGAAGATGGTAATTTTCAGGAAGTGTTTTTAAGACCTTCAGTGTTACATTTTCCATTTATTTAGGCAGACTTGGCTAATTGTTACAGAAGGAAAAAAGTTGCATTTTCGTGGGCAGCAAATGCCTCTGTGCTGGGCATGTCCCCAGTTATGTAAGTCCCCACTGAATCATTGGTTTGATGAGGGAATGGTGACTGAACGTGTTAGCTCAGCATCCCCCCCCATAACCCTCCTCTTTCCTTCCAGGTCCCACTCTTGGTGTTGTCCAGTTTCCGTGTCTGTGCCCATGCTTGATGCAATGTGCTCAGGAGCAGATGGACGGTGAGACTTCAGCCCCACCTCCCAGTGTGCTCACAGAGCCCACGTTTCGTGCCGTATCCATGAGCACGTATCAGCAATAGGGCACACCGTGTTTGCTTTGCATGAGCCCCTCGGTCCCTGAATCAGAGCGTTGCTGTTTAGGTCAGGTGCTCTATCCCACATCCCTCCCTCAAAATGTAGCGAGCGAGGACACGGCTGTGTTTAAGCAGAGGAGGATGGGGCACACGTGTGTCGGAAGCCCTGTTTCCCAGTGCCTGCTTTGAGGATTTGGAACAGATTTTGTTAGCAGGTATGTCTGGTGCCATGTGGCTGCGCAGCAACGTGACGCTCTGAACAAAACCTCAGCTCGGCGCTGCTTTTCCTCCTTTGCTTTGCGGCGCCCGGGTTTTGATGTCTTGCTTCTCAGAATGCTTGACGGTAGTAATAACGGAAACAGCAAAAAATGTCAGCTTGACTACTGTCTGCGTGTCGGCACTAGTCCAGGGAGTTTCAAAGAGATGTTTTATTGATTCTGTAATTGCACAGTAGAATGGACAAACTGAACTGCACCTCGGGGCAAGGAAAGCCCCTGTCTAAGCGGCATCTGTTGGAGGCATGTGCTGCTGTAATTTGGGCAGGGAGTGCTGGCTGCACGGTTGGAACCAGGGGACTGGAATCTTGGCTTAACCCTTTTGTTGTAGGTGATGGAACTTCCCCTCTTCTGCTCATGTACGAGCTGACTTTGGGGTCCCTGTTGTGCCAGCGCTGCGCCTGGGGGCTCTGCGTAGCTGTGTCAAGTCACTGCCTCTGAGCTCTGGTGTCCCCGATGCCAGGGCATGTGGCATTGCCTCACTTGCAGTATCCACCTCTTCCTAACTGAAAAACTGGTCATCATCTCTTATGAAATAAGGCTGCGTTGTGCTGCTTGCTCCTGGGAGCTGATAACTTCCTCTAGCACAAGCTGATTACTTTCCAAAACTGAAGGAGTGGACTGAGCTGTTTTGCTAAAACAATTGCAAATTAAATTTGTAAACTTTTGGTATTGCCATATTTTTTCACTGGCACTGGCTGTCTGTGTGCTGTGTCTTTAATTTGGTGAGAACACAAATCAATTAGAATAACCCATGGCAATGCAAAAGTGGTGGAAATAAATACGGAGAGTCCTTCACCTCACTTAGAAAGCCCATGGAGGCTGCATGCTTTAATCACAAGTTATTGTCAATGGTTCTTAATTTTTAGGCTCAATGCAGGAGTGTCCAGGGTTTCACCCCTGTCCCCTCTCCCTTATGGTCAGTAGACAGCAGAAGCAGCACTTTTCCCTGGGATGTTGGCTGCAGTTTTAGGGCAGGAGCTGGGCTGAGAGTGTGGGCACAGAACCAGCAGCTCCTGAACCAAGCCTTGTTCTGGGAGCTCCCATGGCTTATAATTAGGGCCATGATTAGGTCATTGTCTTCCCGAAGCTGAGCTGGAGCTCGGGATGTGATGCGCTGTTTGTTTTTGGAAGTTGTGCAAACCTTTAATATGTTGTTTTGAAATCTGGATATTAACTGTAATGTTCTTCCAAAGTGTTGCTGGGACATGCAGCACCATCCTGTCCTGTGCTGGATTTTAACGGGCTTTAAAAGAACATTGTTTTAAATGGAAGAAAGATGTGTACTTCTTGGTATTTTCTGTGGCTGCTGCTGAACTCCTGTATCTAGAGCTTTCTTTGTTGTAATGGCATTGATAGACACATGAAAACAGCAAGGAATTAATATTGAGGTTGATGAGGTAAAGACCGTCTTCGTTTGTGTGCATTGAGGAAGTAAATGGTGGAAGATCCCACCGATGGGATCTGCTCAGCTCCCCGGTGGGGTTTCAGAGGCCTATATGTTCTATGCTAGCAGGAAGGGCTGCACCTGGGGCTGCTGCCAGGGGAAGAGCAGCTTTGTTCTGCATTGGGAAGAGAACGTTGAAGATCTGCTGATAAACAGTGGAGGGGAACAGTACCCAGAGCGCAGCTGATGCAGTGGTCTCATTGCATCATTAATCCAGACTACGCTTTGAGCCCTGCAGAAAGAGCAGTAAGGTCTTGATGTAAGTGAGGTCTTGGTGGCGTGACTTGTAAGGGCAGCTCATCTTTACCTAATTCTACATTAAATTCACAGCCGAGGTACAGAAGCTGTCCGGCGGAGCAGCGCTGAGGTCGCTCCGGAGCGCTGATGGGCGAGGCGTAGCATGGGCAGCATCAGTGTGCAACTCAGACTCCAAATTTGGAGGTAGGTTTGTTGAGATCAGGGTGGAAATTAAAATATCGGACTATGAGCTAATAGTTTAACATTTGGCTGAATCTTTATCACCTTCCTCCTCCAACTCTGACTCCTGTCACAGCGCTTACAATTTCAGTCTCGATGATCTGCCCCTTTCTGTTGTCGTTCTGTAACAATGGCGAGGTGAGCGCGACTGAAAACACAGAATGTGCACTAATATTTCCTGTGCCACATCAGATCACCAAAATGACTAAAGAACATCCTGAACGCTAAAATTCTCAGCACATATTTTCTGTCAACACTAACGCTGAGGTGGAGTTGCCCCAGCCAATCAGACATGGGGAAAAACACAGACTTACTGACCCAGAAAGAGCTGTAGTTCCCAATTTTTGCAACGTCTCTGCTCTGATTGGCAAGGAAAGGTGGTCAGAGTTGGAATCTGCAGTCGTGCAGTGCTTAGAAACCCCAAAGATGCTTGAGGCACTGCATGCTGCAGGAGCCAGGCGTGGCCCTAAGGGCAGTAGCCATGGGAAGCAGGCGTTTTGCCAAAGCTCTGCTGCTGTCAGTGTGCTTTGCTGATAGAAATCATTCATGCTTTTGGCAGTAGTATCTGTATCTGCGTTTGTGATGCTCGAAGTCCATTGATGACTAGTTAAAAAAATATGTAGATAAGCTGACTGTTCTTGCACCCAAAGCAGAATAAAGGGGTCAGTGCTGAGCAGTGCGCCGGATCCTGCTGGTGTGACATCCCAGTGCCAGCACCTCCCTCTGGAACAGGCCAAGGGTGCTCACAGCTGCGTTTTTTAACCTATATTTTAACCAACCTTTAATTAATTATTTCAGTTCCTGGAAATTTCTGCTTAGGATTTGATTGTAAGAGCCAGGTGTCCAGAAGATTAATTTGTCCTTTCGGAGTGCAGACAGACCGTCGCTGTTTTATAATCATCGACGGTGGTTGCAAGGAGCAAGGAAGGATGCAGTAAAATACAGCTGTGCTGACAGTGTAGAAGTAGCGCATCTTCTTGCTGCTTGATATTTTGATAGAAACCTTTTGTCGCTTTAAAAACTGGCTGTGTATCAATATGATATGTTAAAAACAGAAGTAGGAAACTGCAGGCTTTTAATTTTTGCCATTTGAACCCTCTTACCTTGGATGAACGCAGCGTGTAAATTATAGTTCCCATGAGGTAAAAATCAGTCAAATGCTACTTAACCTTTCCTCTGCCATGTTTTGTGGTACGTTTCTGCTGAAGAGAGTATGTGCGTACGCCTTCGTCTCGCTGCTGCGTGAAATTCCCGTAACAGCGCTGAATTTCTTTAGATTCCGATTCGAGGTAAGCAGAAATGCTGCACTCGTAGAGATTGTAGAGCTGAGCGGTTTCAGAAAAGCTGTTTGCCCTCCGTAGCTGAGGAGCTGGCACGGCTGCGTTGGCACAGCAGCTGCCCTGCAGCAGCCTGGTGCGGTGCTGAGAGCCGGGCTGAGTTCCTACCCGCTTCCATTACAGCCGTTCTTTGCATGGGCTGTCCATGTATTCCAGTCCTGGATTGGCATTTTGCAAGGCTGGGCTCCTGCAAAAGTTATAATTTTTTTTTTTTTTTTACTGGTTTCAGACAAAGCAGTTCATGTATTCAAGTGGTTTAGTATAGAAAGTGACTTCTCTCCCTGATAATTTCCTAGTAAAAGAATCAGAAATGTGTCAGTGTTGAGACTTGACATTCAAAATACCTCACCCAGAACCCACTGTATTTCACAGAAGTAATTTTCTCTTGATTTGCTTATGGTCCACAGTGAGGTTGGTGCCCAACTCCGCACTTACATTTGCCACTGAACGCTTTTAGTGTGACTCTATCAAATGTTCCCTGGCGCTATTTGAAGACACTCTTCTACTTTCGGGAGACCATTTTTCTTCTAAGCAAAAGCAGAAAAGAAATTTGAAATGTTTTCTCAGTGAACATTTTCATTTGAAAAACAAAACAAGAAAACAGTGAAAAAAGGAAATTGGGGAAATGAGAAATATTCTCAAAATAGCCGACTTCAGAGTCTGTACAATATTTGCATTCTGTTAATTCAAGGGCTCCTGCAAAATGAGACAAAAAGAAAATAAATGATGTCTTTGTAGCGAGCTGGGGCGATGGCAGTGGGAACAGGGCTGGTGGGGCTGTGGCCAAACAGGAGCTGTGCGGAGCCAGGCGTAAGCAGCGGCCCCGACAGCCCTCGCTCTGCTCACCTACCTGCAGGGGAGGCTTCAAAGTCCAGCTGAAGTATTTAAGAGCAATATTTTTAACACGTGGAGAAAGGAAATTAAATTTTCTCCAACAGGACATGGTTGGAACAACTGCAGTGAAGGAAAGTGGACAAGTTGGTGTGGTTTGTGCTACAAAGGAGTTGGCAACGTGGATGTCTTATATATTTAATAGTATGCATTAGATACCATATAGAAATGTTATTACATCTTGCAGTTAATGAGGACAAACAAATTGTTGCATGTGTTCAGTGTGGCAAAATAAAAGCTTGTGGATGAAGTTCTTGCTTTAAATAAGCTCAGTTTCAGTCATAGTGGTTCATGTACCCAGGACCAAACTGTGACTTCTTGTTTTAATTCTCTTTTTGCCTCATTCCTAAGGCAGAATTCCTACTGGTGTCAATGACTGAGAATCTGCAGGTGTTCCTCTGGGTAGAAAATGAATAAAAATAGAGGAAGGGCCACCAAAATTGTTTTTTCTTCTTGTTGTGTACATTTGTTTTGATTCAGTAGAAGAGCTTTCCATGGGTTATGAGCACTGACAAGGGTGTATCGGGCTGTGTTGCTCCTCTCCAGTTTGTGAGCCTTGTACGGTTTTTACCAACAGCTGGTGTATTTTAGCCCTAATACGGAGTGAGAAGCTTGGGCAAATCAGCTGCTTGTTCAGTGCAGAAACTCGTTGTTGAGGGGGAAAAAAAAAAAAAAAAAAGGGGGAAAATAGAGGAGGAGCAAGGGAGCTTGGTAAGCCTGGAACACACTTGCACAGCCCTCAAGGACAGTGCTGAGAAGGGTTCTTTAACTTGTAGAGTTGAAAAGAAAAGCCAAAAGTTGATGTAAATCATTCAGATCTGCATTGATGTAAAGAGCTTTAACTGGACGTAGACTCCATTTAAAAATGGAACAAAACAAAATGAAAATGCTTGTACAGTTTACATTTGTTTTAGAAGCAAAAGCTTAGCGGACTCCATGCAGTCTTCAGATGTGTAAGTAATGAAACTACAAAGCATTACTTTCTCTTGTGGACAGTCCCTAATTTTCCCCCGACCTCTCCAAAAGCCCAAGCAAGAATAGAAAGAAGTTTCAAATGTGAAAAAATGAAACCTGCTATTTATTGATGCTTCAAATGTGAAAACCCAGAACGAGATGGGGAGGTCGCTGGCTCTGGGGAAGAGTGTGGGACAGTCTGTTATTTCTAGGACTTGCTTGTTTTGGGAAGTCCTTCGTCCTGGGGGAAAAGCTGGGTACCAGAAGCCAACCCTGCTGACCTGGAGATCTGGTCCCTGGCTGTGAGGGTGAGCCTGCCTTGCTAAGCCGTTTGCAGGTGGAAAGGCACTGATTGTAGTGGGCAGTGCTGCACTGCTTCAGTGCTGTGATGGCTCTGGGAGGAGGAGATGTGGGACTGGGAGATGTGGTCCCAATGCGCGGCGGGCAGGGAGTCGAGTGCTGCAGGGATGCTGCAGAGCTGAGCTCGTGCATGTACTGAAGGTTTTAAGAAGCTTTCATTGGGGATGATGGAAGATGAAGAGCTGTCAGGGGTTTTTTTGAAGGGAGCTATAGAAGGAAAAATATTCTTGATTTTTTTATTTTTTTTTTTTGTTTGTGACATGTCTGAAAATAACTCTGCAGTGGAAAGATTGCATTGTGCACAGAGCAGCAATGAAGCAAACAAGTTTATTGGTGTTATTTTTCTCCTGCAAACACTTCATTCCACGCTGTTTGTTGGAGCACCCTTTTAGCTGGGACAGTTTGTGTGCACGAACTGAGCAGAAGTGAAGTTGGGAAATCATTTGACCTTCTGATCTGTGTAATCAGCAACAGAGACGTACTGCAGTGTTGGTGTGACACGGCTTTAGGTGGTTTGGTAATGTAAATGAGGCCAGTAACCTGAGCTCACTATTTTTTCAACTAGGCTTATTTTCTCTAGCTCTTTCCTCGATATTGCACATAAGGCAGCTATGCAGGTGGACTGGAAATGCCTTTTGCACAAAGCTTTGCAGTTGTGTTGTTTTGTACACTAGAAAGGTGAGAAACTGTATGTGTTAGTAATGCACTCTCTGAGAAGGAACGAGTAAACTAACATTTTAAAAGCCTTTTGATGGCTTAGGGAGAATTTATGGTGAGAAAATTCCAAGTTCCATAGCCAGGGCAGCGCTCGTAGTGAAGAGGTACATGGCCGCCGTATGTACAGTAAACACAGCAACCTTAGAACATCTCTGTTATTTTGGGAAAATATTCAGACAATATATCAGTCTGGTTTTGAAACAGCTTCAAACATTTTACCACTGAAACCTCTAAAGCAAATGTTACAGAACATGCAGCTTGTCTGTTTATCTTCTCTAAAACTATGTGAAGTCATATGTGAAAAGCGATAAGAATCACAGCATCTCCTTTGGTTGCTCAACATGAGAAGATGATGAGGAGACGTTCCTCAGAAAGGCGGCCTAGCAGCCGGGCTGCGGGGCTGTTGGTGTGAGAAGGGAAGGGGTGGCTGTGACCTGGTGGGCAGGGGGAGGGCTTGGCTACAGCTTTGGACCCGCACACATGCACAGCTTTGCACTTCTGTCATCTTGAAGTTTTGGTTGCTAAACAAGAAAATTTCCCAAAGGTAAAGGAAAGTTGACACTTCTAAAGCTGCCATACAAGTAAACAGTTTTTTTGTGGATGAAATGGGGTCTGCAGAAACCTTGTGACAGAGCCCAGCAACGGGAGATGACGTAATTGTTCCCGCTTGCTGTTGTTCCACCAGAGAGGTCGTCCTACAAAGGT